ATTCTCTTCTCACTCTAATTACCTCCCCCCTCCCCTTCCCCCACTCCTCATTCTTACCCTAAATCCCTCAACCCACGCCCCTTCTTCTTCTTCTTCTTCTTCTTCCCATCTCTCACAAACTCAATTCTCTCTCCCACACACACACACACTCTTCCGACTCTCTCCTCCCCAACATCCATTACACTCCAACTCTACAAGAATCAGGTATGTCATGATTTTCTTCTCTCCTCTTCTCCCCTTCTCTTTTGCAATTTTAATGTTTGAGTTATTGTAGTATCTATAGTTAGATTTTTAGTTTTCTTCTCTTCTTTTTAGTGGGTAATGTGTATAATGTAGTAGAAAAGGGCATGGTGTTGTTGTGTGAAGTTAATTGTGGTGGGGTGGAGTTGTCAAGTGATTGTGGTTGATTTGGGGGGAGAGTTTATACTTCCATGGGATAGGTGTGTTAAATCATAGTTCCACGCACACCAGGTGCTTGTGAAATTGCCCAAATGGAGTTGTAATGGCTACTGTGACCATGGTGGTGGTGAAGTCTGAGTAACCATCCAGGGTTCACACAACTCATACCCTCACTAATAGTAACCTTTGTTTTGTCAGGTACAATGCATCAGTCAAGGAAAAGACGTGGCACAGGTTCCTCCGCTAGTGGACTAGGAGGTTCATCCAGAGCTCGAGCTCAGGCTAGTTTGGACCAGTTTGACCGCACTCGGTTTGTCTCCAAAGCGGCTCAAGATAGGTTTAATGCAAAGTCATCCAAGAAGCTGTTTCCTGAAGTACACATTGATAGACATGCCTTGAGAGTTGAGTGCCCAAGTATCTATGAAGAATTGAGGAGGCGTCAGCTGGACATCTTCTTTAATGAACCGGAAGAGGGCAATGTACTGATGGTCAGGGAATTTTATGCAAATTGCCCAGAACATGTTGATAGGGTTGTCACGGTACGAAACACCCCAGTGAATGCATCTCTTGAGGCCATCCGCCGAGTGTACAGGCTGCCAGTATTCACTGGAGAGACGGATTATTACCAAGACTATCAACGCCCACCTGTTTGGTGGTAACCAATTGTTAAAACAATCTGTGTGGCTGGCCGGGATCCAATATGGATAAAGCAGAGAATTACCCTGAACTCCCAATCTCTCACTTGGGAAGCTAAGTGTTGGCTAACAATCATCAACAGTTGTTTTCTTTCATCCAGCAACACTACAGATGTTAATGGCCCAAGAGCAGCGGTAATTTATTGTTTTATGACCCCAACACGATTTTGATGTGGCCTGGCTCATTCAGGATGAAATGTTCATTCGCTCCCCGAAAATACTCAAAGGGTTATACTTCCCTTCCCTGGTCACCAAGCTGTGTCGTGCTTCACGAGTTCCTGAAAACTCCCATAGTAGATGGGAAAGTGCCATTAAAAGCCCCATTCAAGGCTAGCAAAATCACAGTTGGGAAAGAGCAGGTTGTGGCAGATGATGATGATACTAACGAGGATGATGAGGGAGCTATGCATGCTGCCGCCCCACCGGTGCGGATTGTTGATGAGGCAGGCC